ACACTTCAACCCAGGGTGGGTAGCCTGGTGTCTGTTTGAGCTCAGCCTCCCCACACCAGGAAGCCCGCAAGCTATACCATTCACTGTCAAACATCTACCTGAGCATACAGGGAACTCCCCTCTTGGGATGGACAGGGAAAATGATCCCTAGGGATTAGGGCCTCCTCGGGGCTGTGTCAGACATATTTCATAGTTCCTGCAACTCTGACCAGGGATCGTTCTGAAATTTGGGTTTTGTTGTTGTTGTTGTTGCAAGGAACAAAGACTCACCAAACTAAAGGATGATTCTTGCAAGAATGCACATGGAGCAATACGAGTAAACGCGTTCTCATGGAATTTAATAAGAATAATAAAACAACAACCTCAAAAATATCATTGATGAAGTACTTAGCTGCCCAGCATGGTGCTAAGTGCTCTGTGTGCATTATCTCCTTTCAACCCCATCATAAACCCATGAGGCTGTCGCTGTTATTACCCCCATTTTATAGGACATTTAGGCTTGTAGAGGTCACTGTCACCATAGAGTGGGTGGGCCCCACAGAAACAGGGTGGGGAAAATCTGCTGCTCTCTTGCTGTCCCTGGTCAGAACCGTTTCTCTGTCTTAAGGTTACTGACTTTCCCTGGATGTTCGCCTCTCAGTTCTGATAGTAACTGACTCACTCACCACCATTGAGTTCAGTCATAGACTTTGCTTCCTTATAACAGCAGCTTCTACAGAAGGATTCATGACCTTCTCCACCTCAAATCTCTGTGCTTCAGCTGCTGCCTAACTGCCTCCTCCTGTTCAGATTTCCCCAAGACAGGACTTGAGAGGTCATCCTGTTGGAGGCCAACCACTTCACTGGTCACCTCCTGACCTTTGGCTTGGGCATCCTACCTTGGGTTCCCATTTTGATTCATTCCTGTGTGGATGGAGGGTAACAGTCCTCATGGGCTTCATCATTTCCTTCACTCATCAGATATCCTTGGAAAATCGACTTAAAGCCAGACATTGGGTTGTGGGCGGTGGAGGGAGGGTACACAGTGTTCAGCAGAACAAAGGACTTGCTCTCAGTGGCTCTTACCTTCTGGCTCCTTCACCTGCAGGTGTGGGTGTGGCAGACATTTTGGCCTGTCCAGTTCAAAGACAATGACCCGTGATTGACCACAGCACTCTTGCCTCAGTCTCTAAGTCACTGCCTCCTGGGGTCCCCTCATTCATGCCTTTTCCTGGTTATCCATCTGCCTCCAGAAACGGGGGCTGTGCCTTGCCCCAGTGTACCATGGAGTCCAAGGTGACCAAACAGATGGCTCTAACAGCGGGGTGGAGAATGATGGGGAGGAGTCTGGGGGACAATGCTCAGAGGCCCTGTGAATCTGCTGCCATGGGCAGTGGAATCCCAGCCACAAACAATGAGGTTACTAACAAGTCTCCCATAACTGGTGACTAAATTCCAAAGCTGGGCTCCTCTCTTTTCTTTTATTTCTTCCCTCTTTCAATACCAAATAGTTTGAAAAAATTCCATGCTTTGTTAAATGCCCTTTCCTAGGCTCAAATTAGCCTTTTCCAAGCTTGTCTTTCACATTCTTCAAACTCCTATTAATCCCTCAAAACCCAGCTCCAGGCATTGCCCTCCTCAGTGATTTCTTCCCTAAATTTGAGATAATCATGCCTTCAAATGGACTACTTTCGTACTTGGCATACATTTCTACTGTTACCCTTATCATACTGAGTTGCAAATATTTGTTTAGATGTGTGTTTCCTCTCCTGGAGTATAAGCTTATAGAGAGCAGGGAACATGTCTTATTTATTTATTTATTTTTTAATTTAAATAAACTATTTTGGGTTAGTTTCAGAGTTACAGAAAGTTGTAAAAATAGTACAGACAGTTCCTTTATTTATGACTTTATTATCTGGTTAACATATTGCTTTACTATGGTATGTTTGTTACAACTAAGGAATCAACATTGGTATGTTACTGTTTATTTCGCAGTTTATTTTGCTAGTTTTTACCTGGTGCCCTTTTCCTGTTGCAGGATCCCATCCGATCTCACATTATGTTTAGCTGTCATGTCTCCTTTGCCTCCTCTGGTCTGTGACAGTTTCTCGAACTTTCCTTGTTTTTGATGACCTTGCTAGTTTTGAGGAGTACTGGTCAGCAGTGTTGTGGAATATCCCTCAATGGGTTTGTGTGATGTTTTTCTCATGGTTAGACTGGTGTTTGTTTATTTTATTTATTTATTCTTTTGGAGACAGGGTCTTGCTTTGTCACCCAGGCTGCAGTGCTGTGCCACTGTCATAAATCACTGCTGCCTCAAACTCTTGGGCTTAAGGGATCCTCCTGCCTCAGCCTCCCAGGTAGCTAGGACCATAGATATGTTTACTGCACCCAGCTAATTTTTACATTTTTAAAAATATAGACAGGGTCTTGCCATCTTGCCCAGGCTTGGTTATTTTTAAACACCAGCACTGAATTAAATACCCAGCATGTACCACCTAGCACAGACCAGGCATTTAATTAATGTTTATTGAACTGAATAGAATTCAAGTATTTCTTCAGCATCTTCTATATAAATAGAAGCCTGACTGATGCCCTTGGAGAGGTGAAGAAAGGAACTCAAGTCCTGTAAAGATCTTCCACACAGCTGAATAATAAAAGACAGTATGCACCCAAATGTCAAGTAAGGAGAACCCAGAGAATGACCTATGGCAGCTCAGGAGATGAATTAATCAGAATGAACAGTTGAAGTCAGCATCTGTGCGAAAGAGGTGTCTGGAAAGGGGGTGGGTTTAGAGAGTCCCTTTTTAGTTCTCAAGCACAAGGAGCTTTTCCCTGAGCTAGGGTCTGCTCACATGCTGAGCCTGAAGTCCAGAAGTATTTCTACCCGGCTTCTCTCATGGCTGGCAGGTTTCTCATTCTTGAGGCCTTGGCTTAAATGCGACCTCTGCAGACCTACACTATCTAAGATAGGCTCCAGCTGCCACTCTGTCTCACAGCACCCCAATGATTGTTTTCTTCATAGCTTTGTCAATGTTTATAAGGATTGACTGTTTATTCTTTTTTTTTTTTTTGAAATGGAGTCTTGCTCTGTTGCCAGGCTGGAGTGCAGTGGTATGATCTCAGCCCACTGCAACCTCTGCCTCCCGGGTTCAAGCGATTCTCCTGCCTCAGCCTCCCGAGTAGCTGGGACTACAGGCGCATGCACCACCACACCCAGCTAATTTTTGTATTTTTAGTAGAGACGGGGTTTCGCCATGTTGGCCAGGATGGTCTCCATCTCTTGACCTCATGATCTGCCCACCTCAGCTTCCCAAAGTGCTGGGATTACAGGCATGAGCCACTGCACCCGGCCGACTGTTTATTCTTTATTGTCTGTCTTTCTCATTACAGTCTAAGCTCCTTGAGGGCAAGAAGTGTATTTTGTTATTCACTCTGGCAGAGCACATAGTGGTTCTCAAATTATCTAGGTGAATCAATGAATGGGCTGATGTTGGCTGAGACTGAGAAGGTATGAGACAGTGACAAGAAGATACGTGAGGAGTTGCTGTAAGAGGCACTGAAATGGAGCAAGACTGAACTGGGTAGGCAGATGGGGTGCTGCCAGGTCATCAGACTGATCACAATGGTGTCAGGTCATCCCAAATGGGGTGGCATAATTTGAGCAAAGGCCAGCAATGTACTAGGTGTGGGCTGCACAGATGTATGGGTCATCCAGTGATTTTCCATCATGGAAAGGCCGGCCAGCATTCACAGGACAAAGATGGGGGGATTAGGAATAACTGAGGTCAAGGGAGACGCAAGGGCTATAGGAGTGTCTGCATAAATCAACACTGAGAATGTATTCCACGAATGAAAGTAACACAAAAGCTGTTGGAAGGCAAGTGTGGAACCCAGCTTAACTTCCATGGTGTTATCACAAACCCAAGAAGAAAAAGGGAACTCTGGTGAATACTTCTGAATAACAAAGATAAAATGAAGACGTATGATTTGGCTATCGGGCTATGATAAAGGACAGCCATCACATGAGGAAACCTGGAAAAATGAAATAATGAGCTTCAGGGCTCAGAATGGAAAGAACCCCATAGAAATCTTTGATGTTTTCCACCATGAGTTCTACACTGATGCAAAGGACAGAATCAGGATATACATTCCCTAATTCGGAAAGTATATATTTTCCCATCCAAGTTCACTGTGAACTGCTGACCAAAAGGGCAGTGTTTTATACAGATTCTGTCTAGAACTAGCCCAGCAGGAAAAGCCTTGGAAAGCATATGGCAAAGAAACTCTGAGACTCCAGAGTATGATTTAGTAACAAGAAGAGTGGTGTGTCTCATCTTTGTATGCCCGTATAAATAATCACGATGGCTGAAGTCTGCTATTTTTCATCCAACCTAAGTAACAGCTTTGAAAAAGAAAGATAACAATGACCTGTGTGTACAGCGTCCAAGGGAACCATTAGCAATGGAGCTCACCAGGCTCCTGGGAGGATCAAGCACATGGTCCAACCAACTGTCTTCTGACAAGGTAGGAGTGGGCAGTGAAAGGCAAAAAGAATGGCTGCTCTTGTGTTTCTGAAAGTCAGACCAAGAAACCAAGGAGTGTGTCTTTGTTATTTCAAATCTATAGCCTTTCAAGTCCCAGCAGGTAAGTGGGTGAACCTCATATACAGCTCAGGAACTCCTTTTCTCCTCTGTACCTCCTTAGAGATATAGGGCTAACAGACAGCCCAGGTGTTAGCCTGTCCAAGCCCCTCCTTTGCAAAGGAGGAAACTGATGGGCAGAGGACAACACAAACTGCCCAAAGTCACACTGGTAGATGGCATTTGGGCCAGGATGAGACCTTTTTTTTTTTTGAGACGGAGTCTTGCTGTGTCAGCATGCTGGAGTACAGTGGCACAATCTCGGCTCACTGCAACCTCCTCCGCCTCCTGGGTTCAAGCGATTCTCCAGCCTCAGCCTCCCGAGTAGCTGGGATTACAGACGCTCACCACCACACCCAGCTAATTTTTGTATTTTTAGTAGAGATGGGGTTTTACCATGTTGGCCAGGATGGTCCCCATCTCTTGACCTCAGGTGATCCACCTGCCTCCGCCTCCCAAAGTGTGGGATTACAGGCATGAGCCACTGCGCCTGGCCAGCAGCATGAGACTTTCTAACCCAGCTTTCTTTTCCCAATCCTGAGCAGCCCATCTGGGGCTATGTGACTGACGGACCACTAAAACTGCCTCTGATTCCACATTTTGATTTTTGCTCCCATGTGTTCGAATGTATAAGCACTGTTCACATTTTTCCCCCTCATATTACTTCTATAACAACCTTGAGGTGGTCAAGGAAAAGAAAAAACACCGTCGACATTCCTAGGCATTTTAATGAAATGCACACCGGGTATCTGACCCAGACTCCTACTTCCCTGCCAATCTCCAGCTCATATCAATTCATTTCCCTAACAGAAAATAGGTGTCAGCTTTGTAGATGGAAAGTCATTTGCCTGCAAATATTACCAGAGAGGTTACTGGCACTACTTGACAGTTTTATTATTACTTTTGTTTTGCGCTAAGGTGGGGGACTGTGCATTTGCCAGGTAGAATACTGGGGAAAAAAAAAAAAAAAAAGTAGAGCTTTTAACTTTGTATTAGTTTTAACATCAGAGGGGAAAACAAGAAACAAAGAATAAGTGTGCTGGCCGGATGCCCAGTACGGCTAAGGGCAGCCTCACAGGATCCTGGCTTTCCTCACTTCCCACCCACAAACTTTCAGATCCTGAAGCTTCAGTGTGGGTTAGAGGGAATTACTCTGCAGCACCTGGAAAGCCAGCTCACAGGTGGGCTGCTGGGGTGACTTGGCCGGGCCTGCTTGTAAACACTGGCTATCAACTCCTTTACAAGGTAAGCCAACCGGGGGCGAGTTAACTTGCTTTACTCTTCTCTGGGTTTAATAGAAGGTGGGTATACTTTTATAAGAACCAAATAATCTAAATATTTCACATGTAGACAAGAAAACTAGAAAGCCCCAAGAGAACCAAAAGAGTATTTTATTAATAACCATTTATGTGTAGGAGCTACTTCAATGCATGTTTCACGACCTCTGTATTTTCTAGTCAGATAGACTTGGGTGTAGATTGGCCAGAGAAAATGCAGAGTTCCCAGTTAAATTTGAATTTTAAATACATAATGAATAATTTTTTAGTATATTGCAAATAATGATAGGACATACTTCTATTCATTGTTCATCGACACTGAGTCCATTAGCCAGCTGGTTTATTTATTATTATTATTTTTCCCCTTGCTTCCTTCTTTTCTGACCTTCTGTGGCTTAATTTTAGGACTCCTATTAGAGGGTGGAGGGAGAAATACAACTCACACGCATCGGGTGTCCTACTTATCATTAGCTGAGGCACAAGTTTTGGGAGGGGAGGGATTTGCTACTTTGAGCTAAAAATGGTGATTATCTGCATTCTCTCTATTACCATATGGACAGAATTAGCCATAGACCGATGTTTTCCAGAGACTGGATTTTGCAGGCCAGTAAAATCCAAAAAGAAAAGAAAAGGAAATTGGGAAATTGTGAGAAGATCAATATACTGTTGCCAAGTTTAAATCTGATCCAAAAAGGGTGTTTAAAAAAACCCCACAGCCACCATCTTCAATTACCATTAATTCATAAAAGAAAGCAACATTTCAATACCCCAAAAGTAGGAAGGACGCACTCTTCTTTATTTCTTAAATAAAGTTGGCAGCTTTACAATGGATTGCCCTCATTTTTGTGGAAACTTCATCACAATCTGGTGCTGGCTCTGGGATCTGAGAATATGCAGACCTGGTCGTGCCACAGCAGCACCTATAAAAGGACAGCAGCAATACTGCACTTTACACAGGTTTGTGTTGGTAGCAGGTAACCATAGAGCACCTTCTAGTAAAGGAAAGAGAAAGTGAACATGTGCCAGTGTGAATTTTGATAGTCTTAAATTAATATTTAATGTAAGCATTTTATTTCCGATATGTATGTTATTTGTGTGGAAGTACAGTGTGATTTTTCTCAAACCACAAAGCATTTCTTTAACTTATAATATATAGAAAACGTTTTTCCAAACTTCCTTTGGAGCACAGCTCAATCTCTGAACTTTTCCTCTCTATCTCTATAAAATGAATGCTTCGGGAACTGGATAATGTGACGCTGAACTTAAATAGCCCCCTTCCTAAGAGAGTTCAGAGGTCTTTGAAAATACAGGTAATTAAGCCTCCTGGTTCCTGAGAGCTGGCAGAACGTGTGACCTCAGCTGAGAAGAGTTGGGTATTCGCCAAAAGGCAGGTGTAGTTGGTAGCAGTGCTCAGAGACCAAGTCCCCAAGTTCAGATTTTCTATCCCTCTTCCCATTGTAGACAAGGGAAAACTATAGTGTCAAAGTGGATGATTGCCTGAAATTGCTGAGTAATTAAAAGGAACCATGCTTAAAATCAACTGCCCAGCCCAAATCTCATATGCAGTTTCTTTTATCTTTCTCCAACCTGAGAAATGTATATAAAGGTATTTTTTTTTTTTAACCAGGGAAATTCTTTTTTAAATAGGATTGAAGCTCAATTTCATATGCTGCAGAGAGATGCAAGGTATTATATACCAATGATCCCTAAATATTCTTTTCTTCTTCACATGGCTGTGAAGTTGCAAACTGAGTATCCTTTTCAAGGGCTTGTTGAAGCAGAGAATGAAATACACTTATACAGACTAAAATATATGTGAGTATATTCTTTAGAAATATGAAGAATACCCCCAGCTTTTCACAGTGATAATCTCTGGGTTAGGGAAATTGGTGGGGTCTTTTTAATATTATGTTTTTCTGTAATGATGGAGTTTTAAAATAATTGTAATTGTCTATTACTTTTAGAATAAGTAAAAAAGATACAAAGCATGCACATTCTATTAAAAATCACTTCAACCTGGACTTTTGGGATGTCCTTTAAAGTCACCTAGTACTTGCACTTTCCCACAGTCCTCTGTCCAGCCTCTCTCAATGACCTGAGACAGTCAGTGCGGCTTGGGTATTCCAGACATTTGTCTTTCTGAGAGAAGCAGTGCTACCACTTTTTTTTTTTTTTTTTCCCCTGAGCCAGAGTCTCACTCTGTCGCCAGGCTGGAGTGCAGCGGTGCAATCTCGGCTCACTGCAACCTCCCCCTCCTGGGTTCAAGTGATTCTCCTGCCTCAGTCCCCTGAGTAGCTGGGACTACAGGTGCGTGCCACCACACCCGGCTAATTTTTGTGTTTTTAGTAGAGATGGGGTTTCACCATGTTGGCCAGGCTGGTCTCGATCTCTTGACCTCATGATCTGCCTGCCTTGGCGTCGCAAAGTTCTGGGATTATAGGCGTGAGCCACCGCACCCGGCCCACTTTTTTTTTTTTTTACCTTCTCGAAACCCCAACTCTTCTGTAATTACTGAAGCTCAGGTAATTTTCCCCCCAGTCCTATTAAATACCAGCTTGTTTTCATTTCTCTCTCTTTTCTTTTGCCCTACTAATTCTGACGTGATCATTTTTTCAGCCTTAACTGACTAGCAGAGAGATTTTGGCTTTCATTCCAGAATGATGTTGCACAGAAAAGTCAACTCTTGTTCCAGGTATGTGATAAACATCTCACTAGTGAACTTCTTGCTGTTTCTAAGCGATTAACAGTTTGGTTAGCAAGCCCAGAGCCCTGCAGATACCTTTTGTCTTCTACACAAGGAGTAAGCTAATGAATCCCAGGGAGCATGGCCTGGCCCTCTGCTTCCCTTTAATGGTTTCTGTCACCCAGGCCAGGCTGCCGCCACCATGACTCTGCACACTGATGTGTCGCCTCAGGGCAAGAAGAATGCAAATGACGGTGGCCCTCAAATTGCAATTTAAGGATAGCTGTTAGGTTATACCTTCCCATATATTTCTCTTCCTAACCTCCAAATTTGAGGATAATGTGCTGTTTTAACTTATTCTTAGTAGAAAGAATGTTAAACCTTAGGGTGATGGTAGCATCTTGCTGAATTCTGTGTTTTGGAATAAATTCGATTTTTTTTTTGGTGTGGAGAAGGGAGAAAGGGGGATCACTGAATGCAAAGACAATTTAATTTTAAAAGGTAGAGTTACCTGGTTCCTGGGTTCTAGATATTTAAAGAATAGCCACAGTCAATTTTGTAATAAATTGTAGGAGGTTGTCAAGTTGTCATCTTTATTAAGGTGTTTCTTACCAGACATATTCAAAATCTGTGTACTCAGATTTTAATTGCATTTGCCTCTATTGATTAAAATGTACTTTCTGCAATCAAAATGGACCTCCAAGATGTAGAGGGAAAGAACACTTTAAAAGGCGTTTCCAAAGTCATCTTGGATAGAGGAGCTTTCATCCAAGGATGCTATGTGGCATTCCGGAAATGAATCACAGACCTGGGCCCTCCATTTCCTTAGAAACAGAAACATGCTGAAGATCGTTAGGGTAAATGAGTGGGACAAAGCACACTCTGCATTTTCTTTTTAATTTCAACTAAAAAAAAATGCTGCACTGTGGTCTTGGCTGGAGAAAAATCCTCAGCCTGTTCATCTCTTATCCTCTGCCCAAATCAGCTCCAAATTTGACTGACTGAATTTTCAGTTCCTGTATTTTCAGATCAGTTCCTGTATTTTCAGATTCGGCGCTCTCTGTGGTTGTGGTGGTAGCAGTGGTAGTGGTCATGGAGTCTGTAAGACTTACCATTTTAAAACGCCAAAAGCTCTCTTCAGGTGAAATAATCTCTCATCTGATTCTCAAATGAACTCCTTGAGGAAGAATGTTCTGTGCGTCTCTAGAAACCTTAGTTCTACAAGAAAGAGAGAGCTAAAGAAGCTCACCCGCATCCCACAGAAACCACTTCTTCCCTTTCCCGAACAAGAAACACATGTTCTTCGTCTTCTGTCTGTCTGTCCACCCAGGCTTGGAAGACAGGTGAAAACAATCCCATCTTTCCATTCTTAGAAAGAGGTAGGGATGTGATGCTTACATTCCCCTGGCTTCTACTTGCATCAAATGTGGGAGGAAGGAATAAAAGAGAAGAGGAAACTAAAACTTGAGAAAGGGGAAGAAGAGAAAGTATTAGGTTGATGCAAAAGTAATTGCGGTTTTTGCAATTACTTTTAATAGCGAACCCCCGCCCCCGCAAATCATCTAGCAATCTGGCCTCTGGAGTAAACTAGACTAAAAGTAGGTAATAGTACCCACCCTTGGCTTAGAAGTATCTGATTATCCCTACTAACTAGTACAAGACATAGATTTCTGAAGGAAAAGGAGGCCTACCACTGGCTCCTTTTCATTTTTGTAGTTTGATTTTTCTTATTTTTTAAAAGCTTCTAAAAATAGTACATAAATACCTGGTAGAAAATTTGAAATTTAGAAAGAAGTTAAAAGAAGCATGCAAAATATCACCACTTCATATTACCTTATTAGCCAAATGCAATCACCACTAACATCCAGGGAGGGTTCTTGCCAGTATTTTTTCTATTTTTTCCTATGCTTTTAAAAATCTTCACAAGTAAAATCATTCTGTGCACAGAATTTCACATACTACTTTTTGTTCAATCAAAAGTAACTTCTCATGTGTTTACTAATTCTTTAAATAGTATTTTAATGGCAGTATAATTTGCCATCATATGACTATAATTTATTAATAATTTTCCTAATAAAGGACATTCAGAGTGTTTAGAATTTTAGCCATTATAAATAGTATTAATTAAACATGGTTTTTGTGTGCATAAATCTTTACTTTTTAAATTATTTCCTTAGAATAATCTACTGGAAGTAGGATTACCAAATCAAAGAGTATCATCATTTTTCAAGACTTTAGTACCTATCACCAAGAAAGCTGTATCAATTTATATTAACAGTATATTAATGTCTTCCTGAAACTGACTGAATTGTTTAATGTCATTTAAAAATCATGCGATCTTGTTAGGCCTCTGATACTTTGTATTTACTGGTAAGGCTGAAAATTGTTTACAGACTAATTAAACACATTACATATTAAGGTTATTAACTTTCTGCCTTAATATTTGAAAAAATACATCTTCTTATAAGTTTGCTTTTTGTCCTTTTTGCTGATTGTTTATGATCATTTTTGACATATAGAAATTTTACTCTTCTCTATATTTCAATGTATTGACCTTTGTATTCGGTAATTTCTTCTATTACTGTAAAGTATAGAAAATCTGCCTGTATCTAGATAAATATGCAGAAATACGTTCTCATTATTTAATTTTTCAAAACTATTTCTTTAATTTATTTAGGACTTAATTTGTTATATGGCATGAAAAAAATTTATTTTTCTCTGATAAGCTAAAAATCATCACGCACACGGATTTGTCGACTATTTTTTCCCCACAGCTTATATATGTATTCTATTGACACATATGCAAGACTATTTTTACATATGCGAGATTATGTTTTGGGCTTTTCTTTCAGCACTTTACTGATCTCTTTGCCTATTCATTTATCAGTAGTTTCTCCACCCCTAGTCCTTTTCTTTCTTTTTTCTTTCCTTTTTTTCTAAAGTTCTTTTAGCTATTCTTACTTCTTTCAACTTAAAAGGTGGCCAAGATGACATACCAGAAGGCTGTCTAAAATTATTAGAGAAAGAGAATCTTTGCCTTTAAAGTTTTAGGTCTTAGGTGAAAACGATGCAGTGTTAGCTCTTGTGTCTATAAAGGGTGGGGTTCATGCTATGACACAGAAAATCAGAAAGGACTTTCTTGACATTTGTAGAAACAGTAATATAAAGGAGAATTAGGTACCTTTTGGTTCATCTTAAGAAAAGAAAATTTCCAGTGAGGAGATTGAGACATTTAATGTTAAAAAGATCCTTTCTCTTCTAGGGCACGAGTAAAGATATCAACTCATCTATCTGTAGAAAATTGCCAGAAACTGTCACAAAATAAAAAATGAGAGAAGGCCTGAATTACAACAGTCCTGTTGGGGTTCTACAAGGTGTGTGCCAAATAATTTTGTTTTCTTTTTAAGGCTTGTTAACAGTGGATAGCTTAGGGTGATGGGATTACAGGTGATTTTTTTCTTGTTCTTACTTAACTGTATTTTCTTTTTTTTTTTTTTTTGGTCAAATTGTATAAAAGCTTTTTTTCTTAATAATGGCCTGTTAATTAACATCTGGAACCCAGTACTGGAAGCATTAGTCCCAAGAAGTGCAAAGTTACAAAAAGTGGATTTTCTATTTCTTCACCTCTTACCTTAATAGACACAGCAACACTAAAACTCATCTCATTAGAAGAGGTTTTGTGAAAATGAGACAGGACATATCTAAACCAAGTGCTTTTGCTCCAAATAAGATTTAACCCAAAATGAGGTTGGGGACTGGATGAAGTTATGGAAAAACTACTTCTTAAAACTGCTATTTCTAAAGCTAATAGGAATTCTTTTGCAGTGGGCTTTTTTTCCCTTGACAACCAACAATTGATACATCTTGCATGTTAAAAAGCAGAGGGCTATAAGTAAGTTTTCAATGGAAATAATTTTTTCCCCCGTTCCTTCCCTTTTTTGTGATACAGTTGGCACTATTTTATTGTCTTAAAGATTCCCATTTTACTTTAATGGTCTCTACTTTCCCCTTTTCTTAGCTCTTCTTAATTTTTATGCTTTTCATTAGTAGATAATTCTCTCCGGCTGACCAATGGGGATGAGGGTCAGAGTCACGGGCAACATACTACATCTGCGTTAGTCTGGCTTGAGAACAGCAAAACCGTGCCTCCTTCTCGAATTAGTCACTTTAAGTGTAAGTGATGGGCAGTCTCTGTGACAATGATTTTGTCATAGTAAGCACTTGAAATACCTGCTGCAATTTTTTCACCCCCTGCCCCCTGTTTCAATCCAGCAAGTTTATCTTTGTTCTTTAAACCACAAGCAGGCTTTTGCATTTTTTTTTTTTTTTGCATGCCACATTGAAAAGAAATAAAAACCAAGCGCCATACACATCAATTAAAGGCATAAACAAGTAATAGTCCATTTCCCCCTTGAATCTTTCATGCTTATTTTCCCTTCTTAGAATAACACTTAAAAGCCATCGAAGCTTCAACGGGACCAGCGTCTCCCCGTTTCGTGGGGTGTAGAGCAAGGTGTGGGAGGAGCGTTCAGTATGTCAAGTCTTTGCTGTACAGCGGATCTCCACGTCCCGGCTTCCAGTGGACAGCCCTGTGAGATGGGGGAAATTTCCTGCCGCTCAGATACTGTCAAGGCCAATGTGCCTTTCAGGAGACTGTCTGAGAGATTTCGAACATTGAAACTGGAAAAAAAATTGAGCTGGACAGATCCTTGCCACCACTTTTTCTGCTAAATATAGAAAAGTTGTCATCGGGTTGCACAAGCAATTTCCAGCTACAGCACCTCAGGAGGGGAGGCGGGTTCCCATTTCTGATAGTTAAAGTGCATAAAGCTGAGCCGACCCTGACTCACGGGTTGTGAGGAACAAGGGAAGGTGGTAGAAGAGTAATGAGAGAAAGGCGTCTTTGTTTTGATTAAATATAACGACATGGGAAGATGTGCAGTTGATGATGGTATTTGCTTACAATGTCATAAAGCATCAATAATTTGCAAGAAAAGGGTAGGAGGAACCCTACCCCAGGAGTCTGTGCTCAGAGTTTCTCCTCTACCATTGCTTTGGAAAACGCTGTTGGATAGTGGAGGGAGATTGGAAGATATGGAGCCAACCAGGCACGGGTTGGCATCCCAGCTTTATCACTTACCCTGTGTTTGATTTGGAGTTAGTTACTTAACTTCGCTGAGCCTAAGAGTCCTCATATAGAAGACGTGGGTAAAATAATATTCCCCTCACAGCATCATTAGGATACATGTTAGGAGTAAAGTACATGGCACTACTAAGTGCTCAGCATTTGTTGGTGCCCTTCCCCTTCTCCCCTTTTAGGCAAATTATTTAAGCGCCCTGGACATCAGTTGCATCTCCCTTAGCAAGTCCTATTGGTTCTACCTCTGGAATATATTTAGAATTTATCCACTTCTCTCTATTGTCATTGCTGCCATGTCAGTCCAACATGTAGGCCATTGCAACGCTCTCCTAACTAGTTTCCCTCCTTCTGTTTTTAAACCCTGTGCAATCCATCTCCACATAGCAGGCAGAGAGAGCATTTTAAAAATGTAAATCACATCATGCCCCTACCCTGCCTAAAACCCTCCCGTGGCTGAACTTAGAGTAAAATCCAAGCTCCTCACCACAGCCTTCAAAGGCCCATGTGATTAAGTCCCTGCCTACTGCTTTCCTTTTAGACTCCACTTGCTATTGCTTTTTTCTTCTATTAATATTTTTTCTTTCCAGCTGTACTGGCCCTTTTCAGTTTCCAGAACACTCCAAGTTTATTTCTACTGCAGAGCCTTTTAATTTGCTGTTTCCATGGCTTGGAGCTTCTTCCAGATTCTCCTGTGGTTGAAACCTTCTTCTAGGTCAAATGTTTCCTCCTAAAAGTTGTCATCCTTGACCTAGTCACTCTCTATCACAGCCCTAATTTATTTTCTTCATAGCACTTGTCATTATGTGGAATGTGAAAGTATCTTAAATACTGTTTATCTGTTTATTTTCTGTTTTCCCCCATAAGAATGTGAGCTCCATGAAAAAAGGGGACTATGCTTTTCTTTTCTTTCAATTTTTTTGAGACAGAATCTCGCTCCATTGCCCAGGCTGTAGTGCAGTGGTGTGATCTCAGCTCTCTGTTACAGCCCCTCCTAGGCTCAAGCCATCCTCCCACCTTAACCTCCTGAGTAGCTGGGACTACAGGTGCATACAACCATGCCCAGCTAATTTTTTGTATTTTTGAAGAGATGTGGTCTCCCCACATTGCCCAGGATAGTCTCGAACTCCAGGCCTCAAGTGATTCGTCTGCCTCAGCCTCCCAAAGTGCTGTGATTACAGGCATGAGTCACCACACCTGGCATGGGATTATGCTTTTCATTGCTGAATAAACCTAGGACAATGCCTGGTACCTAGGAGGTCCTTGGGGAGCATATGATGAGTGGATTCTGAATAAATATGTAAAATGGGGTAATAATATTGTCCTGCAAGTTGGTGACTGGATTTGAAAAATCTATGTCCTTTCCATTTCTTTTTTTTTTTTTTTTTTTTGAGATGGAGTCTTGCTCTGTTGCCCAGGCTGGAGTGCAGTGGCACGAGCTCAGCTCATTGTAATCTCCACCTCCTGGGTTCAAGCGATTCTCCTGCCTCAGCCCCACTAGTAGCTGGGATTACAGGCGTATGCCACCATGCCTGGCTAATTTTTTGTATTTTTAGTAGAGATGGGGTTTCACCACGTTGGCCAGGCTGGTCTCGAACTCCTGATCTCAGGTGATCCACCCGCCTCAGCCTCCCAAAGTGCTGGGATAACAGGTGTAAGCCACCAGACCTGGCCTCCTTTCCGTTTCTAAAGATTCTATAATTCCTTGGACAGAAAGACTAAATCCTGGGATAATTTTAAAGAAATGCAATTAGAAAATTTTCAAACACTCAACATATAGTAACTCATATTAAGTTTACCAAGTACAGGCACTTCAGGTATCTGCTTTAATAAAAAAAAAAAATAATAAGGACTTACATTTTGCAAGTCAAGTATTTGTATGTCGAAGGAGCCTTCTAACCCATTTAAAAATTTTGTACCTTTAAGTAGCATTGCAATTCTCTGAGCAAACCTATTTAGAGTTTGCTTAGCATGCCCTTTCTTCACAGATCTTGAAAAGGAAAGTGACCCCACAATGCAGCACATCTGCTGAAAGAAGTGGCTCAGGTGAGCTCAGGCTGTGTGAATAGTATGTCCTTTAGCGCAGGGAGCCATTCTTTCCACTGTGCTCTGTGCACGTGAGACCACTTCTGGGGCCGTGCTTTAAGAGGGACACTGTAAAGTGGATCACATCCCAGGGAAGGAAGTAGAAACCATGCGAGGAGGAAAAAAAGAAAACGGGAATGCCTAACTTTAAAAGGAGGGGACGGTGGAGACCTGATAGTTGTCAATTATTGGCAGCTCTCTCATGAAAAGACAGATTTGGTGCCATTCCATGGGACAAATTTGGAACCGGTGAGTAGAAGCTACTGAAAGGCAGAGTTGGTCCAGTCAGTGGGGGACATTTCCAACAGTCTGGCCTCATACCTAAGTAAAGCCCTGTTTGGAAATATAATGAGCAGCTGCCTTTTCTGGATGTTAAAAATTCAGGCAAGTAAACCGCTAGTCAGCAATGTCCTTCCTACAAGGATTCCTCTTATTGTAGGTGGGTAACATGCACACTCCGGGAAGCTCTCAGTTGAAATCTCTTCACACCGCTGGGCACAGTGGCTCACACCTGTAGCCCTAGTGCTTTGGGAGGCTGAGGTAGGAGGATCACTTGAGTCCAGGAGTTCAAGACCAGCCTGAGCAACAAAGAAAGACCCCATCTCTACAAAACAATTTTAAAAGTTAGCCAGGTGTGGTAGTGGCATGCCAGTAGTCCTTGCTACTCTAGGTGCTGAGGTGAGAGAATTGCTTAAGCCTAGGAGTTCAAGGCGGCAGTGAGCTATGGTCATGCTATTGCACTCCAGCCTGGGCAACAGAGTAAGATGTTGTCTTTAAAAAATAAATACAGGCTGGGCCCGATGGCAGCCATTTGGGAGGTTGAGGTCAGTGGATTGCTTGAGCCCAGGAGTTTGAGATGAGCCTGGGTAACATGGCGAAACCCCATCTCTATTAAAACCACAAAAATTAGTCGGGCCTGGTAAAGTGCATCTGTAATCCCAGCTACTCGGGAGGCTGAGGCATGAGAATTGCTTGAATCCAGGAGGCGAAGGTTGCAGTGAGCCGAGATCGCGCCACTGCACTCCATCAGCCTGGGCGACAGAGCGAGACTTGGTCTCAAAACAAATAAATACATACATACAGGCACACATTAAATTAAACTAAAAAAGAAATCTTTTTATGTATTCTATGTTGGCTAATATTATTTGATTTGCATCAATAGAGTTCTTTCTACTCTGTCATGTGTGGAATATGATAAGTCTGCTATTGCTAATGATTTAGGCCCAGATAACTGTGAATTTCAAAAGTTAACCTAGAATCTCAGAGATTCATGGTTTTATATTCTGACTTGGAAGCAAGTCACTGGCCTATTCAAGAGATTTCTCATCTGGAAGGCTGAAGGAGGCTACTACTCTTCTTGGTGAACAATAGTTTGTGTTCCAAGAATAACCTTGGGTTTGGGGATAGAAGATAAGAAGATAAGGCTGGAGAGTTTAAGAGTTGTATTAGATCTCCTTTTAATCTGTAGCCTAGGCACTATGTTATTTTCTACCTATGCCTTCCAGCAGGGGTGGCTTATAACTCCAGGCAGAAGCTGAACCTCCTTGGCGACACCCCCTAGCCTGACCCCGTCTTTTCTCCTTCTTTCCTTCCTTTGCCTTTCATTAGAATTCCTATGAGCCTTTGAATGCTTAGCATGAAAATGAGCCCATTTTATTTTTGGAACCCACAGAGGCAGCCCTGAGGGGAGTTATTGTGTTGCTTTTAGCAGCTAAACAAAAAGGTGTGAAATCATTTGCTGGCTGTTCTAGAATGGGAAAAAATAAATAAAAAACTGAGAAGGAAGGTTCAGGACAGTGTGTGGCAGCTTGGACGGAACCTCGTGATGAGGGCTTCTCTGAGACTTATTAGTAACCAAAGTGACTCTGGGAATGTCTGTGCATTTCTCTCACCTTCCCAGGAAGTTACTAGAATAGCACAGGAAGCCACTGGGATTTTTTAAAAAAATGATTGATTTTGCAATACTATTTCCATGTGGCCTTGAAAAAGACTTGAGGAGGGGACTAATTTGAGAAAATTCCTTACAGCTCTTTGTAGCATTTCTTATACAGGCAGCATGAGGGAGAGGAGACAGGACTAGTTTACCAAGCTTTTAAGGCTTTCAAACAACCAGGGAAGGCTTCTGTGGACAGGTATGTGAGTCGTTGACACAGGCCCCTAATGATTTAAACACATAACAGTGGTAAGAGGCAAAGGCCTCAAAGAACTTAAGCAACAAGAACTTCTTGTGAAACTTGAGGTTTTTGCCCCATGCTAGTAACATTCAGTGAAAGCCATCTTCTTTTCTGGGGGGCTGACCACCCCAGGTATGTATCTTATTGGAAGAGGATTATATTTTGAAATGTCTCTTCATTAGAAGGGCAACTTCATTTTCAATTGGCATCTTTGACATGGGATTTTTTTTTTTTTTTATAATTACGGAATGTTTTTTAAACAACCAAGTATTAACATATAAACATGCAGAGACTTAGTAAACGCACATCCTTATTCCCCAATTTTCACAACTGTTTTACATTTAGACCAATCTGTTTGAGGTCATTTCAAAAGAAATGTAAGCTTATGATTGTACCGTTCACATTTCCATGCCTCCTTCTTTCTCTTCGCAAAGAGACAAGCCGTGTGCTGTGGCTGGTGTGTGTCCTCCTTCCTGGATTTTTAGGCAGGCCTGACCAAGTAGCCACTTGGCCTAACGAACATGACCTTTGGAGTATTTAGGTAGCCTGACTTCAGTGGCTGGAGGATCTCCCCTTGCGGGGACCAGTCACTAGGCCTGTCTTATGAAGGTGGCTAAGCCTTCTTTTTTTCAGTATTCAAGGCCAGAATTACAGTATAGTAAAACAATAGGAAAAGGCAATCCTCCTTAAAGTACTATTTCGTTAATTGAGTCATCTATAGAATAAATAATATTGATTTCCCCCTAATTGCCAGGAAGTATGCTATTGCTGAGATATAATGAGTCACATAAACAAGTAGAAACTAAAAACACTGTAATTCCAAAATCTCTCTTAGGGAAGGAACTGTCCTGGTTTACAAAAATTCCATGATAAGCTATGACCTTGAGGATATGAGTGGCAGGAATCAAGAGACTGTTGGGCAAGGAGGATCGTGGCATGAGGGAGGAGAGAAAGAAGGAGGAGAGGAGGAAGTAGGAATCTCAGAGTGGGAGAGAGAGATGGACGAGAGTGGCAAAAAGGACAAAGGAGGGAGATGAAAGGGCATGTGGCAAAATGGCTATGATGAAAAAAAACATCTACAGTGGCTCAGCTGCTAGAGGATTCTAACAACAAGGTCCTGACAGATAATTTTTTTTTTTTTTTTTTAGAGACAGAGTCTCACTCTGTTGGCTCACTGCAACCTCTGCCTCCTGGGTTCAAGCAATTCTCCTGCTTCCGCCTCCTGAATAGCTGGGACTACAGGCATGTGCCATCATGCCTGGCTAATTTTTGTATTTTTTGGTAAAGACGGGGTTTCACTGTGTTGCCCAGGCTGGTCTTGAACTCCTGGCCTCGAGTGATCCACTCGACTCAGCCTCCAAAGTGCTGGGATTATAGGCATCAGCCAAGGTGACCAATTTCCCTACAAATCAATTTGAAGTCATTTGTGTTAAGGTGAAGGAAGCCCATTATTTACTACCCATCCTCTTCTTCCCACTGCAGTAAAATGTTCAGTGAAATAGGGTTTTTGTTTTTTTTAATTAAGGGACTGATTTCGTATATATGTTATCATACACATATATAGCATATACATATATGTGCCATCTACACACAGACGCATATACACACTTCTCTATATAAAAGATATCTGGATGAACTGACACAAATCAGTAAAAAGCAGAAATTCCGCACCATAGGTGAGCATGAAAACACAACTTTGGGGCCTCCCCCGTGTGCTCTCAAAGCTAGGAATTCTCAGACACCCTGGCAAGGTCTTGACCTTCATTTGGCATTAGGAAAGTACATTGAGGGATATCTCAAAGGACAGGGAGAGTCTGTCACCAGAATTGAGAGCTGAGCTGATTATTTCCTAGGTTTACCCTGTAAGTTATAGGGAACATGATTTGAATATAGGGGTAGACTCTTAAGTCACTATTTATTAAAACTCTACCATAGCTGCTCAAATGCTCTTTTTCCTTGCTTCCAACTCACAAACTCTTAACTCACCTTTTCAGATTCTATTTAAATGTCACCTTATCTATGGAGCCTTCCCTGATCCCCCAGGGAGGGTAATTTTCCTCTCCTGAACTTCTGTATTTCTCCAGATATCTCTCTATGACAGCACGTATCACATGGGGTCACATGGCTTTGAACCTGAATACGAGGTGGACCTCATGGCATCACTTTTGAATTCCCATTGCCTAGTGAGACATGTGTCACTTTTGCTGAATAAAACCCGGGTATGTGAGCAATAAAGGGAAACTTGAAAGTGAATGCACTGCTTCAGAAAGACCAGACTTCCAAGCCCGCGAATGGTGGCACCACTGTCCTCCAATAATTTTGTTACTGGTTGCCAATTTGTTTTGCCCCTTGTTCCTATTTTGAATAAGAACCCATTGCTCTCCAGAAGTAAAAGCAATGAGATCATTTGTTTGTTTATTTACTCCCTGCACCAAGACCCAGGGTGACGAGGCTGGATTGCACATGGGGCGTGGGCATCAGAAACTGGAAAGTCTCACCCTGCCCAGCCTGTCTGGCTCGTATGCTTGGGCAAGTCACATAGCTCCTGTGGGACTCCGTTTCCTCACCCAGTGATAATGACCGGCTTCACAGGGTGGCTGCTGCGGAGCTTAATTAAGGATTGAGAAGAAGGCAGAAAATACAAAGTGTGGCATACACACCAATTTCCCATATTTATTTTTGGGCTCAGTAACCTGTGGTAGGAGGTGTTTATGACCTGGAAGAGAAGTCTAGCAAGAGATGTAACTAGCTATTCTCATTCCAAAATGGTTCACTTAGTATTGACTGGGAAATGGGCCATGTCATTCTTGCTTTTGTTCGAGTACATTCTGTGGCCCTTCCTGCTAACTTTCTGGGTAAAGCTTGCCAACTCTAGGCCTCAGTTTTCGTGTACAAGGACTTTCTCTATCTTTCCTTTATACTCAGATATGCTGTGATGGCTGAAGCTTTTTCCTTAGTCCCTATAGCCTTAGGCCACACCCAGACAGAAGACTGAGGGAAGGCATATGCGTTTGTGAGTGACCCCATGGGGTGGTTCCCTGAGCCAGAAAAGACAGAGAATTATGAAGCCCTGCATAGGTGACACCCTAAATCTGCCTGGCTTTGCAGATCCCGGCCTTTCTTCGAAGTGCTTGGAAGACCTTGGCAGATTCAGCCAGTGTTTTGATCACTGCCAGAGCCTGCAGCTTTGTTGCTAATTGTTTGCTGAAAGAATTGAGCAAAAGGACAACTGGTCCCAAGGCAAGAGTGAGGAGGTGAGTGAAAGATAGAAAAACAAACCAGAAGAGGGGACTGGGTGATTGCCTTGGAAAATCTTATTATTACTAGTATATTTTTTTGTCTTTTAATCACAAAGGCTGTCTCTTCACTAGAACTAAAGAACCAAAACTGTTCAGAAAGAGAGAAGAGCCCAGCACCTTATACTCAGGAGATACTGAAAAACGTCATGTAAAGTGTTTACTGTTGCGAGAAAAGTACACGTCAGAGGATGCCCATTATTGATATAGAGCCTTCTGTGTACCCTGGATGAGCATGACCAGGATGTCACCCTCAGTTGGCTGCAGCTGTTTTCAGAATCTGTGGGATCATACCCCAGAGGCAGTTGAGTCAGCCGCAGGCATCAGGTGAGGAGGAAGAAGAGTGAGACAGCTATTACAGGCTGCCGGGGCAGGTGGCTGTGAAGAGGTGTGGGGCCACCAAGGCTTATATAAGGAGGATGGAGAACACAGGCCAAAGGGGAGGCTGTCATGCTGACTTCGATTGGCTAACTTAATATGAGGCAGACTGAGGGAGGAGGAAGAGGGCAGGAGAGAACATGCTTTAGAAAGCATGACGGTGTCTCATCTGTTTGCAAGCGAACACGTAGGTGCCTTCCAAATAGGATCCTGAAGAATGTGCAGATAAATGAAAAATCTGATATACAATAAACCACATACCTCTTTATGTCTATATATGAACTTATTTAAGAAGGCTGACTTTAGTAGAATATGATGCATATCCTAATTATATCAATATTGGATGCATTGTTAGTACCATTTCTCAACTTCATTTTAAAAATCACTTTAAGAAAATACAAAAAATAATTCTGAAGATTTTAACCTTAGGTGCCCATAGATCATTTTCTTGGGAAACTGCAGCTTTTAGAAATGCTGGACATACTTTACCCAAAGCATTGTAACTGGTCTCCCACAAGCCTAGGATAAAAGTTTTCCACAGAAACGCTACTACAGAAAAATGCCACATCCCACGGATTAAACACTGAAACCAGCTAATCACAACACATGAGAGCAAATGTAGCATGTTTGGAGAAGTACAAATAATGTTGAAACATGTCTGTCATGAAATCTGATCTTAACAATCCTCTGAAGACTAGCTTTTTTGCAAAGAGAACTTATCACTAACATACCTCACAGAGGAGGCCTCAGTTTCTAATAGAGTTAATTTTATCTCTTTTGATGATGGAAACAAAAGACAGCCTGGAAACATCCTCTTAATTCTAAGCACCACCCACCCTTTCTCAGTGGGGAGAGGTAAGCTTTCAGTAATTCCCAGTGTGTCTTATATTGAATATATAGAAGATGGTAAAGCAGGGCCAGGTAATTCCAACACTTAAACTGCTACTTAACCATTCATATATTAAAGGAGTTTACATGGATTGTCAGCTATGAAAGAGGTTTCTCAGTCTATATCCCACTCCACAGTCAACGCTCCTCACAGGTGCACTTGGCCGTGGGGCACTTGTAATCTCAGAAGCCGATACAGCTGCCAAGTTCAAGTTGCCATGACTCTGAACATAGTATAACATTCCCATTCCAAGCCAGAGCCCGTCACTTTTGTGGCTGTTCAGATGAGGGCCCTTCTTGGTACCACTCTGACTCACATACACTGGCTGCATTCATGTAGCAGGTGAAGGACTTAAGTGTCACTAAGTTGGTTTCCAGTTGCTTCCAGGAAAAAAAAAAAAAAAAACCGGCATATAAGATTCTTGCTCCTGATACCTGGCCCTCTCCCATGGCTGCCGAGAGAAGATCCGGCCATTGCTGTCTTGGCTTCAAGTGCTGCCTCCCACACACATATTGAGGGGCTCTGCAACAAACAGAAACCTAGGGACATTGACATTTTGGGGGCAGGGTGTAGAAAAAAACACTGCATGCGTATCTGAAAACTCTGCCAAGCACGTCAGCCCTGCCATGCCACTTCCTAGCTCTTCTAACTTCAGAACATTCTGTGTTAGGAGTTGCTAATCAGTCCAATATCATATGTAGTTTAACGATGTTGAAACACATCTGCCAGAAAGAAGGCCAAAAGGAAGGGCTCCTCTACTGCTCTCTTCTGCCAAAGATCTGATCACTCGTGACTGCAGCCCCTCACTTTGCCCCTGGGTGTTTTCTCCCTGTGTTGTTCTTGGGCGTGTTTAATTTGGATTGAGCATCCATGGAGCTGTGTAAACACTGAGGTCCCATTAATATTACAATATTAAACAGTAGTGCTAATTACCAATAGACCCCTCAAAAAGCAATCAAATAACAAACTCACCTTACCTTGACCTTTGTATCTCTGGCAACCAAAAGCTCAAAATGCAGTTCTGTCATTTTTGCACAGTCATTTACCTTGACACCCTCCGTCTGCCGTGGAATCCAATCTCCATGTATAAAAATAAACCTAGAAACTTTCTGTTCACACGTTTTGAGGTATGTGCACCAAATGACACACTTTGGGAGGTAAGCACGAGTCATGGTAACTGACCACATCCTTTATCTTTTCATCCTAAGACTTAGCAGAACTTTATCTTTACAATAAAATGGCCTTTAGAAGTGGGTATCACCAACTTCAGAATGCGAACATCGTTACTGAGAAAAAGCATTTTCCTTTTAAACAGAGAAACCAACAGCCATGCACTAAAAGGCCTGAAAAAAAAAAAAAAAGTAGAGCTACCACAAAACAAACAAATATTCAGCTTGGTTTCAGGAAGCTTAGAGAGGATCAAACAAGGTTTTCTCTATTGAAGTTGTTCGAGAACATTTATGGTTATTTCAGCTTCAGTTTCTATTTACGCTGCTGGCTTTTATGTCTCGACCTCAGGAGGGCATTCCAACTTCAGGTTAACTCACAAGTAGCTTCAGAAAAGTTGGCCTGAAAATCCCACCCCCAGAGTGGGGGAGGGGAAAGCACACTGGTTCACACTGGTTTCCAAACACCGTTCAAACCCCTGCTTTGGCCTTGAGTTGAAGATATCTCAAAAACTGGGGAGAGAAATTCCACGGAGAGAGGGTGAGAAAGATTTCTCATGGTGTGAACATTCATACAGGGAGACTATCTCTTCCTGTGGGATGGAACCAGGAGAAGAGAGCACCACTTTGCGGAGCCCTCATGAAGCTTTCCACTCAGGAGTTTGCAATTTTCTGTTGGTCCCTAGGGAGGAAGATTAAGTACATGGTTGAATTTTCAAGCAAATTAACTTCCAGAAGAAAGGAGGAACTATGCCAACCCCTTGCAAACAATATTTTTGTTTTATAAATCTATTTACTTTTCAATTCTTCATGCCATTGATCCTCATAACCATGTTTTGGTTGGTATTTTTAATCCCCTTTTGATGGATTAGGAAATTGAGGTTTAGAGATTAAGAAAGAAGCCCAGAGTTATACAATAAATACATAGAAAAGCTAAGATTCAAACCCGGGTCCTTTTGCCTCTAATGTCTGAGTCCCTTCCAATATGCCACACAGCCCCTGACCACGCCCTTCCGTTAACAATCCATATTGTAAGTGGTAGAAAGAGGAAGAACCTTTTGGAGTAGAATACTGAAGGGTTTTGATTAGTGAGTGGATATGAGGCAGAGGAAATATTATCACTTTGGCGGTTGTTACTCTGTCCCCATCCTTTCATGGAAACATATGGAGGTTTTCTCTTAAACGTACTTGTCAGAACTTGCCGATGAAATTTAAGTCACACCCTGCATATGGTGCAAGTTCACCTCCAAGAAGCAAGAGACGAAAAAGCCGCTGTTTCCAGATGTGTCAACTCTCATGTAAGTACCACACGTTGCTTGCCTCTGGACAAGGTCTCAGAAAGGTTTGTCCAAATTTCAACATAGAGTAGTCCTATTTAGATATGTCCCACTACATACATGCTTAGCTATGTCAGTATCCACTTGGCATACTCTGGAGCTTAGGAAAAGTTTCCTGCCTAAGCTGAACAGCTTCTCTAGATTGCTCCTTTGCAAACCTTCCTAGTTTTTTTTTTTTGTTATAACAGATTTTTGATTACACAAAACATGCCACTATTCTACGGTACAAAATCAATCTACATCCCTCTACCCAACTGCCCTTCCCCCATAATATCCATTCCCTGAAAGATCTGAAAAGGCTTCCGCTCCAGGGGGCTTCTGGGAGCATTCCCACAAACCACACAGCTTTCTGCACCCTCCTTCTGACCTAATCTTTCTAAAAGTTAGTACAACATGTCCATCAAGTCGACTATCCCTTGCAGAGTTTGGAACAGCAACTTCAGCCACCTACATCTGAGAGAGATAAATTGACAATCCACTTTAGGTTTATGTGGGGAACCATAAATATCAGGCTTGAGCCCTGAGGGCTAGAATTTCATGGGCCGTTAAGCATGTCACCAGGTGGAAAGCTGTCAATAGCTGGATGTGAGTTACACTGAGATAACCACAGGGACCTGGCTTAAGAAAGTGTAGCCCTGATCAGAGAGGGGTGTCCTTTTACTTTGTTCCATCACCCCACTCACCAATTCTCCCTTCCCGCCTCTGACCTCAACCTTCACTTCTTGTTAGGTGTCCTCTGTGCTAGGTAGCAGACTGCCTTTTCCTCCCTCCTCTAGAGTGAAAGATTGGGTGACATATGGGAAGAACAAGAGACGTGCAGTTCTGGCAGACCTTGACTTAGGTCCTCGCCCTGCTATTTAGTAGCTACGAAATAATGCACAAGTTACTTAACCCAACTTAGCTCATTTTTCCAACTGTGAAATTATTAAAGATAATTAAAAGCATAAGAAAGGCATAAGTAGGGCCAATAGGCAGAGACTGTAAAAAGACAGATTGCCTACTTAGTAGACAGAAGAACTTTCTAAAAGCCAGATTGGCTCGAAAATAGAATGGGTTGCCTTGAAAAGAAATGAAGAAGTGAATATTCTCTGTGACAGGTTTTGCGCATAAGCCGGATGCAGGGTGGTAGATCCCGAGAATAGACAGGAGTTTAGACTGGCCACTGCAAAGGATTTCTAAACTTGAAATTCCATGGTTCTATGATTTGCATATGTGTCCTTCCAGAAAAGCTAAGATAAATCTTCTCAAATCCCCTATGCGGAAGAAAAGTAAATTGACATCATATTTTTTTCATTTTCATTTTCCTTCTAGAAAACTAATCCCTTCCATGTTTTCCCCCTTCCCTCAATTAGTTGGTAGAGAATCCCATTTCCATCAAGTGCACAGAACACATTTAACCATTTTGAAACACTTAACATTTAACACAAACCACATGACCATAAGTTTTAATTAGTTCCCACTATACAAATAGGTCCATTTTTAGAAAAATCAAAATGCTCGATGCTGCTGCTTGCTCTCTTCCTCTCCATTGTTTCTCTGTTTGACTGGCTCCGTGGCACTTTCCCATCCTGCCCTCTTGCTGTCTGAGCCCATGGCACCTGCCAATAAAAGTGATGACAGACTTTGATGCTCACACAGGTTTGCAACAACAGAGTTCACTTCATAATCACCAGACTTCAGCCCGTAAGCCTGATCTGAGTGACACTGGATTTTTTACCTGAGATGTTACGCTGTGGGCTTTCGTTTCTACAGGTTATGAACCACTTTGAAAGTGAATTTTTTAGCTTGCTAGGGGGAATGACCTATGAGCCTGCAGACAAATCTCAGCTGATTGGGCAAAGCCCAAACCCTTATTACAGTGCTTGAGTTTGCTGGGAAAACTGGCTGCCACATATGAACCATAGATACAAGGTCGTCCTTTGGCATAATGTGTACAGGTGTGTGTGTGTGTGTGTGTGTGTGTGTGTGTGTATTTGAACATGTTCAAGTCATGAAGCAAATGAGAAGTACGAACCAGTGTCTTCTGTTTGACCGAAGTGAATATTAAGGGAAACCACAGAAGATGAAGTGACCTCGTGCCACAAGGAGTGATGAGAGGGCTAAGCCTAGGGCTCCTGTCCTCACCCTCATCACAAAGTGACTGCTATGAATGACCGCATGTTGATCGGCCAGGCATGGAGGAAGCACATACTTATACCAACATGTTATTTATTCGGCCAGATATTATTGTCTCCATTTTACAGATAAGGCTCAAAAAGATTAAATAACCTGCCCACAGCCACATTACTCATAGGTGGTTGTGATGGAAGTTGAGCCCACGGTAAAGCCTCTGAAGCCTGTGGACTTTTCATGGCACTGTCCACTTTCAGAGGCTTTCTCAGCTCAGAGTCTGACTGTATCTGCCTCTCAAGCTCTGTTTCAGCCACCTTATCTCTCTCTCTCTCTCTTTTTTTTTTACTCTGATATCATATTTCTTACAAATAGTGTCCAAATTCTTCCTCCTCCATGTTGACTGTCCTATTTGCCTAATGTTATGATTTGTGTTTCAGATACCCTAGGGTATCTGAATAATATCCTAGGGTATTTTTCATCTTTTGAGTGTCCGAACTACAAACAGCTTTAGGGACAGTTAAAATCTCAACAGGAGTATGGATTCTATCAGGAGACCCTGACCTGTGCAGCCAACACTTCACATGAAGAAGCAGCTTCTCCTCTTCTTCTGTGAAGGCTGCCTCTTCAGATACTTGGGATTTAGCACGTCTGTCATGTTAGTCTAAGGAGCTGCTGAAATAAAGACTTGTTGACCAAAGTTTCTCACCGGCTAAGGACAGAGAAGTCTTATTTCTTCTCTTTGCAAATAAAGATTCCAATCTTCTCATCCTGAGACAGGGGTAATGCAACTGTTTTAATTTTGACCCTAAAATGTTCCATAGTACACTGAACTGTTTTCGAAGTAGAGTTTTAGAAGAGGCAGATTTATTTTTAACCTTGACACAATTTGAATTTAACAAACATTTTTTTCCATATTTCATTTTACACATTTGTTTGCACTGAAACTGCATGACTAGAATAAAGCATTCAAAACAAAGCAGGCAAGCAAGCAGGCAAACAGAAACCCATCCCACTTTTCCCTTGCTATGCCACTATCCAAGGAGACCCGAGGCTCTCTGAGATTTGAAATGCTGTGTTCCTTAATGCAGTAAACTGAGTAATGTGTTCCCGCTCCCACTCCCCAATGTCCACATCTTAATTCCCTGGAACCTACAAATATGCTATTTTAGGCAAAAGGGACTTTGCAGCTGTGATTAAATTAAGGCTCTGGAGATGGGGAGATTATTCTGGATTATGTAGGTGGACTCAATGTAATCACAGGGTCCTTATAAGAAGTAGACAAGAAGGTGAAACACAGAAGGTGATGTGACCATGGGAGCAGAGGAACAGAAGGAGACTGGACGATGCTACATTGCTGGCTTTGGAGGCAGAGGAAGGAGCCATGGGACAAGGAATACAGGGAGCCTCTAAAACTGGAAGTTAGAAAGCAGATTTTCCCCTAGAGCCTCCTGAAGGAGCTGGCCGAGTGTTAGCCCAAAAAAACTGGGTCTGTACTTCTGATCTTTGGAACTTTAAGAGAATAGCTTTGCATTGTTTTAAGTCCTGAGTTTGTGGTACTTTGTTACAAAAGCGATAGGAAACGAATATACTTGTTGCATCTCTTGTGTCTAGTATTGGGCTTGGTATATGACATGGACTCGGAAAGTAGTATTTATTGAATGCAGTGAAAATATAAAGGAAAGATGTTATGAGAATGGAACGTACCAAATTCATGGCAACTTTTAAAATTTTTATTTATTTATTTATTTTTTGAGACAGAATCTCGCTCTGTCGCCCTCGTGGCAACTTTTTCTGATTTAAAAAGTTCTCTTTCTTAGGATGAAAGGAACATTCCTTTAAGGCTCAGAAGAGTGTACAGCTACCCAGATATCCATGGCAAGGCCCCAGCGGTTACATAGTTGTATTTTAGCCCTTCAGGCCTAGCAAGCTCTTTCCTGGGAGCAAGTAAAGGAGACCATAGGCCATGATAAACAGCACTTAGTGGCCAGTTGCTTTAAGAATACCTGTTTAGTGTTTCCAGAGACTCAAAGCTCCAGGGAGACAAGCAGGAAGGAGGGGCAGTGTCAAATACTGTACAATACAATTAGCAAATACCAGCACCTTGACGAATGTTTGGTATACAGTAGGCAGTCAGAAAGTAAACGCTAGCATGCATGACATTCAGAGCGTGTGACCTCTTTCTCCTAAAGCTTCCTACGGTAGAAGTCAGTCTCCTACTACTTCTACCTTCTCTATCTCCTTGGATGTTTGTTTTCATCAGATTTTACTCATATCTGCTGAACAAGAGCAAAGGGGAGTACCTTTCAACCTCAGATACGGACACATGTATTTGTCAACAGGCCACACATATTCTGGGTACAGGGACTGCAGACCATAGCAACGTACCTCACCTTTTCTGAGACCCTCTCCCTTGTTCAGTATTTGTAAGCCTTTTAATTTAAAGAAAAATAAATGAGGCCATGCTAGCTGATTAAAGAATAATTCCAAGGAATTTAACACTTAGTGATTATATTAGTGATATATAGTAACTTCTCACTTTGGATTCTTTTAGATGTATTACAGAGGTAAAAATCAATATTTTCTACCAAACTGGAGAAATTGAGATGATCTATTTTTGACATATGGGTTCAGAGAAAAATTAATGATACAGACTGGAATAACTCTAGTTCCCCCAAGTCAACATCTGATTGACCCTTAGAATCAGAATTTAGGAAGAGGGAGGTTTAGGGGATCATGCAGTCCTGCCTCCTCACTCTACAGATAAGGAAACCAGGCCTAGCTGGAATTTCCCCCATATCACACAGCCAGAAAACAGCAGGCTCAAAAGTAGGGCCTTCGGAGTCCCCAATGCGGCATGCATATGTGTCTGCCTTGTTTCATTGTGTAGGTACAGCGAGTTTGGAGGCATACAAAAACAGATAGACACCAATCTTGCCTTCAAGGCGTTTACAGTCTAGCGGGGGAGATAACACACGTATATAAAAAAATTACTAGACAAAGTAAACAGCACTATGCTCTACAAGACAGGTATGGATTAAGAAGGAATCTTTTAGTCATCGTCCCCCGAGATTCTGTGTTTCATTTTTTAAAACAATAGTAATCCAACTTGTGAAATAGTGAACTTCCTCCATTTTGCAAGATTCCTCGAAACCAAGTACTTGGAATATAACTTAGTTAAGGATTGCACAACACACACTATTTGAGTATCTGATTTGGAAAACGAAGCCACAGAGCCAGACCACACAATGCACATTGGTTGGAATCTGCTGGGCAGGTATCTCCCCGTCGGTCCAGGCAAGCCAAATCAAATAAGGCACTGAGTTAAAAAGGAAGGCAAAGTAAAGGATAAATCTGTTGACCACCACTCCAGGAGGCCAAGGCCTCTTTCCTCCCCATTAGTGGTGGCTTTTGCTCTAAAATAAAAATACCACACTTAAGCTGTGATAGAGGAAAGCCCTTGGTTTGGGACCCGACTACAAAGTAACAGCAAAAGAGAGAATTATTACTCCTTAGTGACTCTCTTCGTGGTATAATGAGAAGAATAGAAAGACCATTGAAGAGTGGGATTTGGGAGAAATTTGGGTCATGTGTCTGCAGCACTAGTTGCTTGCAGAATTGGCCATGTGGGTTGGCACACAGCACCGTGAATATTACAAACCACAAATCTCCAGGGTTTCTTGAACAAAGTAAAAGGCCTTGTCTTCAGAATGCCAGGTTGCCGGCTGGCTTTTAAAAGAAGCCCCTGGGTGAGCTCTAAAGCTACCTACGCATTTCTGCCTTCTCCGTCTCTTTCTTCTCCGCCTCCTCTCCCTCTCCCCCTCCCTCTCCTCTCATTTTGGATATCGCATCTTGGTGGGTCTAACTGTAGCTCTGCTTCTGCCAATACCCCCCTGCCCCACCCCGTCGGGAAGCAGGCCCTCTCCATGACAACTACCAACACAGAATCCACAGAGCTCTGGACAATGGGACAAACCATATTCCTATGAACAAAACCAAGGTAAGTAGATTCCTTTGCCCCTGGAGGACTTAAGGAGTTACTCCCCAGTCAGATTATGTTGCATCTGAGGGCCCAGAAAAGGAATGCACTTCCCTGTATAGACAACAGAGCCAGTTCTTGAAAAGCTATGCCAGCAGACAGACCCTTTAGAATCTCCTCCTTGGGAGTCTGAAATGGAAACAAAGTACCTCCCTGTGTTCACTTGTCCAATCGTTGACTTCTCTGCAGAATGATTATCTTGGGTTGTAAGTAAGCTGAGTCTTTTATAAGGCATACTTTAAGAAAAAAAGGAAAAGATGAAATCAGTTTGTAAAATCCTAAGGATTAACTATACCTTGGCCACAGATAAATAGCCACGTTTTCACACTGCACTTCCCTTTATCTCCTCCTGAGATGCTCTCTTGGTTCCTCCTTCACTGCTCTTCACGCTCTGAAATATTTCTTAGACGACACTTCATCCACGGTGACTTCCAGGACAACCAGTGGGGGATGGGGTTTCCTACATCATCTCTTTTCTTGGCATCTCTATCCAAAGTATTTAGATGATGCATTCGTGTCCTTTCTCTCTCTCTACCCCTGCCTCCTCCAAAAAAAGGAAAAGGGGGGAGTGGCGGGTGGGAGGAGATTACATTATATTTTTTCTTCTTTTTTTGGAGATGGAGTCTCGCTCTGTTGGCCAGGCTGGAGTACAGTGGCGTGATCTCAGCTCACTGCAACCTCCGCCTCCTGGGTTCAAGTGATTCTCCTGCCTCAGCCTCCTGAGTAGATGGGATTACAGATGTGCACCATCATGCCCAGCTAGTTTTCGTAGAAATGGGGTTTCACCATGTTGGCCAGGCTGGTCTCGAACTCCTGACCTCAAGTGATCCACCCACCTCGGCCTCCGAAAGTGCTGGGATTACAGGCATGAGCCACCGCGCCTGGCTCATTTTTTCTATTTTATCCTTGGTGCTTTCCATATAATAGGAGGTCAGTGAGATCAAGGGGATTCCTGAATGAATAAATAAAATCTGCATTTCTCAGGAATCTGACGGACAAGAGAATCCAGAGTCTGTGCAATGGGCAGAAGAGAGGACCGAACTTTATGGTTGATTCCCCATAGACCACACCAACAGGGCAAAGCCCTTCTGTACGTATTTCTATTTTCACACGTATCTGCACAACCATGTGTTTAGAAATCAGAGGGTTGCTATTTGTAAAACTCTTGAAAAACCCTCTTTTAAATTGGAAAAATTATTTTATAAATGCCAACCCAATCTGCTTTATCTCAGTGAGCTGCTATTAAGTGCAAAGAAGATAACATGTTACAGGTGAGTCTGTGCTTAAAGAGCTTTGACCACAAAGGCTAAACAGGGTCCATTCTCCCATGTGAAGAAAAATGTTTCCATTTCAATTGTGATGTTTGGAATTTCAGCTTAAAGTACAAAAAAGGCACTGTCTCTTTAGTGCCTTTTGGAAAGAAGTGGAATCATCTGGCCAAGTGTTTCCTCCTTTCTACCTAGACTGTCATTTGAGTACATTGACCCCTCCCTGACAGAAAGTCTGTGTAAGCCCGAGGAGGAGGAACATGCCGCAAACCCGCTGCAGAGCATTAACAAGAACAGAATTAAAAAGGATCACTTCTGGGACTCATCACACAACTTGGAAATGGTGTTCAATAAAAGAAAAGATAATTTGGAGCCACACTACCTGGAACGAACATCTGACACGCAGCCACTGGTCTGGATTTAGAAAACCGCTTTCATCCCCAGAGGGTAGATTGTTAATGAGTGTTTTAAAGGGCAAGATTGAGGAAGCACGATAGAGTTGAAAAGGTACTGGTTTTGAAGGGTCCTAGTCTTGCTTCCACTTCTGTAAGCAAGTCGAACCGACTTTGAACAAGACACCTTACACTGCCCTGAGAAAATGTCCTCATCTCTAACACGGGAGGTGAAGTTAACCCTCTAGACCATCCAACACTCAGATCTAGGCCTTAATGACTATGAAAACGGGAAAAATTTTAAAATAAGAGCAGGTAATGCTCGCACCTTTTCGCTACCCGAAAGGAAGGTAAAACAACCTTATTATAAAAGGCAACTTTTCTTACTCGTATGCTAACAATCAATGCATAATTTACATAGCAATGCATACACTTTATATTGTTCGAGAGATCATTATTGACTGCCTGAATTTGATATGCTCATCCTTGTCGCGTCCTTCTCACTAAATACTAATTACCCAAAGTGATCAAACCCCAGATGTAAAAAAAAATCATCTTATAAATCACAGACAAGGAGGTAAAAAAAGAACTCAGTCAAACATTTTTGAGTTCATACAAAAATGGAATAGCATAATCTACCAGTATGTTCCCATCCCCCAGCTAAAGCAATATTTTATCACTCTGACTTTATCTATTCCCAGTCCTCCCCAACGTACTTATTTTCTGGAGCATTTTAAAGTAAATCTTCCATATCTTGTCATTTCATCCATAACTACTTCAGTCAGTGAAGTAGGATTTTTAGAAAACTACTACCATGACAGCATTACACCTGACAATATTAAAAAATTATTTACTATCATCTAAAGAACCAATCAATATTCAAATTTCATCAATCATGTAAAGTTTTTTTTTCTTTCAGTTTTTGACTTGAATCAGGGTCTAAACAAGCTAAGAGGTGAAACTGATCTCACCCAATTTACAATCCTTTGTCTTTTACATATTTAGTTTAGATGCTAACATGACTTAGACACAACGTATCTGAAACACAGATAATATGAAGGTCAGCTTCATCACAATGTTATTTGAAATGTCTTATTCTATGAATCAGATATAAATGTAGTTAAAGGCTCAGAACTGGAAGAATCTCAAGTAATTCTCACAGTTTTCCCAAATGCATAAATGATTTAGGCAACCTTAATGGAATGCTTTAAAGATATTTTGCTAAATCTTACACCATTCCTAGGAAGAACACCTCTGACAGACTCTAGCAGCTTTTATTTTGCCCATATAAAAAAGCTGGATTTCTTAGACCGTGGAGCAGCCTAATAGCATAGGTAGCATTTTCAATTGTAGCTTCACCGGCACCTTAAGAAGAAATCTACCTGGACATGGCGGCAACGAGGCCATCTTTGAAAACAGCTGAGAGCCTCAAACTGTCAACTCTGACTTTTGGGAAGAAGGGAGGTGAACAGTTTCTCCATTCAGCCTCCCTGAGGCCTCTCTGGTAACACACAGGCACTGCCGTGACTCATAACCAGAAATACTGTTTTATAACACCAGTCTGTGTTTTGTAACACGCACTGAAAGAAAAAAAAAAAAAAAAAAACTGTTTAGAAACCAAAACCAAGCCCTGCATCTGGGCATTGGTATGAAGATCTCAAGAGGTCAGAGTGGCTATTTAATCCAGATAAAGTAGGCAAGGCCTTATCCCTTTCCTTGGCAAGAAAGTGGAGGCTTCCTGCCTGCTGCACATGCCCACAGGAGGAGCAACCATGAATTTAATTTTCTTAAAACAGAAGCATTTTCAGACTTGTGTTTTCCTGGACAGCTGCCTAGTGGCTGTAATCCATAATAAGGGCGTGTAATTGACAGTAATGTGAATCACTCACTGAAATTCTGGCAAAAAAAAAAAAAAAAAAAAATAGAGAGAGGTTTTTTTTTTTTTTTTTCAGGAAAAAATTAAAGAGCAGATTCATCCTGTCCATTGAAAATAGCAATTACTTTACATTTCAGCTCATTAGCTACCTTTATATAAAAAAATCACTGTAATTTGTACTAACTATCAGCAAGTGTTGTAAAGAAGTGGTACAGTTGCACAAGGCATGCAATCGGATGGGTTGGGCCAGGCACAATCTGTAAAATGGCAAATTTAGATGAGTTACTTGATAGAGCATACATGGGAGTCCTGGCCCAAGAATGAGTTAGAGGACACTGTCCTACCAGTGATTTTGCCACTTGAAAAGCTGCTATCTGCTTGGGACCTTGTAATTATTATGGTAATACCCAGGGCAGACTGATCAAGCTGCCATTGATGTCTATGGGCAGTTTCAGAATTCCTTTCACTCAGACACAGGGATCTCCAAAAGAATGGTTGGGGATTTTCCCAGGTAGAAGCTGTTGGAACCATGGAAACTTTGAGACCAGGTGGAGGGTTTCTCCCATCTATTAATTCTCTTTGAATAAGGGAAAGAACAATCGGAATTAACTTCACTATCAACCTGAAAGGGCCCCCTCTTTTCCAAGGCAGAGGCACGGGAACGAAACACTGGAAAGCTATGGATGATTTAATTCCATTTAGATAAACCCTGACTCCATCTGAACCCAAGAGGTTCAGATATTTGTCTGAAACTTCAGCACCTGTGAAACTAGAAGCCCTTGTCCAGAACTACCTGGTATCTCAAGCTTCTGGTCCCAGAGGGAACAGGGGTATTTTGAACTGTGAAAATCCCATGAATGCATGAAAAAAACCTTGGGACTTTAGAATGCTGAGGTCTGTGTTGGGGAGATGTATACTGGACCAAACAGTGGAAACACTTAACCTCTTTCCCTCAGTCGACCACACTTTATGAAGATGGTTTGGATTTATTTTCTCCTATTGGGATCTCCCATTCTTAGAAGTAAAATGGAAGTCAAATTTCACTAAATCAGAGGTCATGTTGGGATTTCGACGAATGAAACTAAAATTCATTTTGTGCTTTATCATTAATTATTTCTGAGAAGCTTTTTCTCATATGGCAACAGTTGGGGGATGGTATTATTAGCTTAAGATGGTTCCCATCTTTGACAGCCACCACTAATCTCCTACTTAATTCTGTCTTAATTTGCAAGTAGTTGCTAACAGGCAAAATGAAGGTGGAGTCTCATAAACCACTAAAAAGAGAGGCTTGCTATGCATAGAAATAGGCCCTGCAAAAATATTTCAGATACTGTATCTCAATTATTAGACAGTAGCAAACTGTCAAAATCTGAAAAGTAACATGGAATATGTATAACTAGTTCTTTGCAGGCATTCTTTTTGTTCCTATGTGAATACATTTTATGTGAGCCCAAACGGTTGGAAATGTGTTATTCATTTTTATAATTGAGAAAAATGTGTTAACGCTCTGGAATGTCCATGTGTGGAAAAATGAAACATTATATGGAATTGCACACACATATGATTTATAATGCATGCTTCCAGGACCAGAAATCCTAACGAAGAACCTTATTCAACAGAAAAAAAAAATTTTTTTTTCTTCAGTATTTGCAATTCTGGTATACTGTAATGCTGAGGCCAAGCATATATTTTATTAGTTTAAATCCTAGCTAAGCAATAAAATATGTGTCATTTTAAATAAAAGAAAACATGTTTTTCACAAAAGCTAAATTTCTTGTCCATTTTTGTCCCCTTGTAGTGGATGCTGCGGTATGTTGCACAGGTCCCTCCCTTTAGGATGGAGGCCCTCATTCTCCCTGAGGCCCCAAGTGTTGACTGCCAGTGACTCATAGCTGAATTTCTTCCTGAGATTTGTCCTTAGGTAAAGTGGAGCTGCCTTGCCCAATGTTATGCCCTGTCTTAGGTGCAGCTGGCACCCAATGGCTGCTTGATGCAGATTAAAAGATGCAGCCCCCTTGCTTCAATTGGGTACATCACCGAAGGGCCACCCCCACTCTGATCTCCCTGTGGCATCTGCTGAAGCCTATACTACAACTGCATGGCAGCTCAAGTTTTCCTTCTGCCCAGTCCAGCTTCCCTCACTCCCCATAGGCATTGTCCCTATAAGCCCAGCCCCATAAGCTTTCTGCATGCCAATTTCAGAATCTCAGCATCTATTCTCTGGGGAATTCAATCTAAGATACCTTCATTTATTTAAGGATACTTTAGTGGAGTGATTAGCTGGGCATGAAGAATTTTAGATCAGAATATGGTAGAACTTCACTTTCTTCAATGTGAGGTAGACCCAACTTAGCCTTTATGCCAAGAGGGTTGGTTCCAAAAGTTTTTAAAAAACTCTTAGCATTGCAAGGTGAGCTCAACTAATGGCAATGGAACAATATGAGAATTTTTTTTTTTGTTTTGATATGGAGTTTCACTCTTGTTGCCCAGGCTGGAGTGCAATGACGTGATCTTGGTTCACTGCAACCTCCGCCTCCCAGGTTTGAGTGATTCTCTTGTCTCAGCCTCCCAAGTAGCTGGGATCACAGGCATACACCACCACAGCTGGCTAATTTTGTGTTTTTAGTTAAGATGCGGTTTCACCACGTTGGCCAGGCTGATCTTGACCTCCTGACTTCAGGTGATCCACCCAGTTCAGCCTCCCAAAGTGCTGGGATTACAGACATGAGCCACCGCACCTGGCCACAATATGAGAAATTATATGATGAGGATTTGCTATTGAAAATAATAGAAGAATTGGCCGGGCGCGGTGGCTCAAGCCTGTAATCCCAGCACTTTGGGAGGCCGAGACGGGCGGATCACGAGGTCAGGAGATCGAGACCATCCTGGTTGACACGGTGAAACCCCGTCTCTACTAAAAAAAATACAAAAAACTAGCCCGGCGCGGTGGCGGGCGCCTGTATTCCCAGCTACTCGGGAGACTGAGGCAGGAGAATGGCGTGAACCCGGGAGGCGGAGCTTGCAGTGAGCTGAGATCCGGCCACTGCACTCCAGCCTGGGCGGCAGAGTGAGACTCCGTCTCAAAACAAAAAAAAAAAAAAAAAAAAAAAGAAAATAATAGAAGAATCGTGTACAGTATGTAGATGATTGGTCATACACAGAATGTGAGAAGTTGGCTCTTCTACGTTTCAGGGGCATAATTAACCCAACTCTCCAGAATTCTTGTAAGTAAGACTCTGGGATAGCACGAGGAAGAACACACTGACCACTAAAGAGTAGGTAAAGCATTAGGAAAATCTGTGAGAATGAGACCCATATTGGTCATTTTGTTCATTAGAAATCTAACCTAAGAGAAATGCACCAACAGAATCTCAGGTGAAGCAATTTAGGGCAATAAAAACATATTCTCCTAAATGATACTGTCCCTGAGTGGCTCAACTAGTGAAAATGAGAACATCTTCCTGTCTCTCAAATCACCCCAATTATACACAGGATTAGGTAACTTCCACAAATCAGGCCATGGAAAGTTCTTTGATTTAGAGATATCAGGCAGGACTCTTTTTTGAGGGGTGTGGGAGCAGGAGGAGACGAGGATGGTGGTGAGGATGTGTGCGTGATAGTAACAGTTTTTCCTTTTCCAACATCAAAAACCATAGGCCTTCTAGGACAGCTTCTACTTTGATTGCACTTGGCTGTGTGAAAGAGCAGCACAAAATGAAGATAGCTCCTCTCACTGTGCTATTAAAGACTCCCATCTGAGAAAGAAAATGGGTGAAGGAGGCTCTAAGAGATGGCCTTTCTATCAAAAAATCAACTTCAGAAGCCTAAAAGATCTTCTTCCTTCATCCTGTTCTCATTTAGCTTGCTAATAGATGCCTCATGAGAAAAGAATTATTGTGAAGCTGAGAAAGCAGGATTTAAATTTCCTAAGAGGAGATGGACTTTACGTTACAGGCAAGGGACATTTTTTTCTCTTCTTACAATAATTCCAAAGTGCTTTTTGACCTTGGAAGAAGAAAATCAGTGTTAAGATGGAATTGGTTAGGTCATCGCCTAAGGAGGCATAAAAGGCCACCAGGAAATAAATTAAAATTAAAATAGATTCTTTTATTGGGTCACATCTCATCCTCTCATTTATGAGCAAGGCTTCCACTCAAGCAATTGATACTGCAGGGGATAATTTTGCTCCTCTTGTTTAGACTCAAGAAAAAGTTACAAACAAAAGTAGGGGGGAAGCTGCATAGGAAGCTTAAAGGACATTTTTAACAGAATTCCAAGGAGAAGAGCACGGAAACCGTGGTTGTGTGCAGCCACTCATGAGGTGGACAGTAGTTTTGAAATTGTTGGTTTCTGCTCAATTAAGGAAACGTACTTACATTCTAGACCAGACAAACATAGCAAGTCACATGTTCTGACCTTGAACAAATAAATGTCATTTCTTTCCAGAATTTACCTTAAAATTCAATAAGTAATCTGGGATTATCAGAACATCTACTTTAGAAACTGTTAAACATTTTAGGATTACTTTTTCTTCTCTAGACTGGACAAATACAGGATATTTCCCTTGACAGGATATACCCTTCATTCTTGGAAAGGTCAGCCAATTCTCTTTTCTAGTAGGTAGTTTCCTATTTTGCATAAATGTACATGCCAGTGGTAACTGAAAATGTCCCTTTACCTTTTACTCTATACATCTGATCATCTGACTTACATGGATAATGCAAACAAATGGTGTGCAAGAGGTCACTCAGAAAATTAATACATTCTTCATATTTAGAGAGATAGGCAAATATTTTTAAACCTCTGGATAAGATTCTGACTTAAACTTTACAAACTGAAGAAAGAAACTTTAAAAGTATCAGCCCTAAAATTCAGCCCTAAAACTGAGACTCAAAATGCATATAGTAAATTGTCAGATGTCAAGAAGCCCTTTGAATTATAGTATCAGTTTCCAAACTATTATAACACAAATCTCACAATATATTTTCAAGTAATAAATACCTCTTCTTTCTTTCTTTTTTTTGAAACTGAGTCTCGCTGTGCAGTGGTGTGATCTCAGTTCACTGC